GTATCCAAATTTGAAGAAACCCCTATTTTGGGCACTGCTCCTATGATGACCATTTAAGGGAAATCATGTCACCTACTGTTCTCAAACTTATAGGAAAGAAACATGGGACTAAAATACAGCTTCAATAGGCAACGCAGTCTGTTTGGTAAATTTTTCTGGCAATTAAACAGTTTTTTGTGAAAATTTTATTTTTCACTTATTTGCATCTTTACCGCTTCTTTTTGATAGCGTTACTCGAAAACCGTATGGAATATAAAAAAACGGAGACCACTGTCAGTGTTGGGCTTTACATGCTCTACAAAATGCAAAAAAGAATGGGTCTCTAGCATTAACGGTTCCCGAATTAGAGACAGTTTTCAGTTTCGGCATCTTATGGCCGCTACTCCCGTGAAAATGCACCGATTGACCCCAAATTCACGGAGATGAAAGATGACCTGAAGGGTAACACTTTTCAATAATATTATTGGTTAAGTCTGTGTGGTGTCTGAATAACAGGGCAAAAAAATTTTTTTCGTAAAAAATTTTATTTTTTGAAAATTTTGGCCCGTTTGGCCTTGAAGTAAAGGTCAAAGGTCAAATCCAAGGGCATATTTGAAATCTACACATGACTTTTGGAAAGCCGTCTGTAGAAATTTTTCCCATAACCTCTTCCGTAGGGTAGATAATTAGCATTTAATTTTGCCATTTTTGGACAAGGGTGCATTGCAATGAGTGCCACACCTAGACCCCAATACCGACAAAGCCCAAATTTTATGTGGAACGAGTTGAGATTATAGGTGACCTAAAGCCAAGAGATGGGTATGCAGGCCCTTACCGTCTAGGAGTAGAAGCGGTAACGGTAACTTGTAGGCGGAGCCGGCGGAACGATCCGGTCGGGACTAAAACCATGTGTACCGCCAGCGCTAACGCTGGTGGTACAATTACCCCCTTACAGCTTTCAGTAGGCGGGACAGACGCTTAAGCCGGCTAAGCTGACAGTAATCTAGTGAGACTCCCCACAGGGATAGATCGATCTAAAATCTATGGAAATGGGGTCTATGTTTAAACTTTCCACAAAATGGCGTAATTAAAGAGACAAGAAACGTACCCGGATACTCAGCTGTGTCTTTTTTCGTGACTCTCTACACTGGAGAGCATAGAGAGAAATGTTTTCAAGATACGCACATATGCGGTTCTGGGCGTTTGGGGTAAGCGATAATTGAACCGCACATATGCAGTGAAGGGCTCTATGGGGTTAATAACATTTAATTGCTATAATTTTTACAAAACAACTGCATTTATTATTTGTTGTGAGAGTTAAGCAAATGCAAAAATGAGAGACTAGTCTTACCACATGTTAATGAAGACGGTCCCATTGTGGGGGAGGGGGGTCACAGGAATGCCCCCTTCACGGATTACACTAAATAATATCAACGTTTCATGCATCTGGGGAAATAAAAAGTGTCTCACGGGTAACATAAATATCCAGTGAGACCCTCTGCAAAGCTCCGCTTTTAACAGCCATAGAAGTTACTGTATTTTCTTACAAGGAGATAAGAAAGACTATGGGCGGCCAAAAGGGCAACAATCCATGTCGTCAATTCAGTCATATTTCATCGATTCACTGCATTAAATCATAAATTTAACATCTAATTTCGTCAATTCAATTGTCAAACATTTCTCATCTACGGAGTATTACAACAAATGCTCTCACTATTCTCGTCGATCTTGTAACTATTCTTGTCGATCGTGTAACTATTCCCATGGAAATGACAGGTACGTCTTGCTTCCAGATTAGATCTTCAATTATTTGTTTATTTCTCATTGACGAGAGCTATTGAAAGTTGAACACATTTCACTAGCCTGAAAATTTAATGAGTCTTGCCGATGATGTGGTCGAATAGTTGGAACAAGAAAAAGATTCTGCTGCATGCTTTTGAAGTTTGGACTACATGTTTAAGCCCAGAAAAATTAATTTTGGAATATATATATATTTTTAGTTGGATTGATTGGATAATAAAATAGATACAAAATATAATTCAGGTAAGGTAAGAGTATCCAACTGATGAACTAGTAATTTTTGTTAACCCCCCATGCCCCCAATCATATTGTCAGCCAAAATCAAGTTCACCCCCCCTCCCCACACACACACACACACACACACACAGGCAGAGGTGAGACAAACAGATAATTACCTGTACCTCACTCTTTACCTTGGATCTCAGCTGCCCTTGCATAAGCTAATGGCATGAATAAGTTTTAAATATGTTTTAACCAGACTTGATTAACTTTAAATCTGTGAAGTGGAAACAAAGCAGTTACAAATTTAGCATTTTAGTCATTATTGGATAATATCCAATCTAAAGTTGGGATAACTGGAACTTGGGGATGAACTGCGCCAATAGATGCAATAATTATATATTATTACAGTATCTATGATATCACACAAAGACAATATCACAATGGGAATATGATGACATCTCATCACATTACAGTTACCTAGTTTCCTGCCTACTAACTTACTGGTAACTTCCAGTGGATGTCAAACTCAGTTGATGTCAGCTCTTTGATGTCCTCTTCCTGGTCCTCAGATACTTCCTGCTTTATTTGTATCTTGCAATCAAGCACATCAAGTTCATCTGTCATTTTAGGGTTCAGGGCATACGTTACATGTTCTGTTTTGTTTTTGAGCAGTTTCACATACTTTATATTAACCTAAAATGCAAAATGGTCTTTTTAGACTTTATTTCTATCTCTCTCTTGCTCTCTCTCTCTCTCTCTCTCTCTCTCTCTCTCTCATTATCTAAGAAAACACTTGATATTTTCACACCAATCTGCCATGATCACAACACATGCTTTTTATGCATAAATTGGCCTTTTCATTAAATTGTACTTATCTTTGTTGCACAATATTGGGAAATTTAACTGATAAAAACCAACCTTTTTATGACAGCCTTTACGCAGGTCCCACTCTGTCTCATACCCATCCAAAGAAAGGCTGACATTATAGGACTCCTTGTCTTCACTCTCACTGTACTCACAAGTTAAGAAATGAAACTGCTTTTCCAGAGCTAACATCTCCATTTGGAGAGATTCCTTAGCATTAGTTGTCACATTCTACAACATTACAACAAAAAGTATTTACCCTTTAACAGCAACATACAAGCATTTCAGGGGTAACAAAAGATAAAGTGAAAAAAAAAATCCCGTACAAATGCAACAGATATGATGACAAATTGACTTGTTTGGCCATGTCCCGAAAAGGACCAATTGAAAAAGAATGCACATTATTATTTGAAAGAATTAAAATAAATAAAGACACTTAATACTGTGACTGATTACAATTTTACGTGGTTATTAGCAACCATCCATATGGCATGAATATTATGTCAATATGACAGGAATAGTCAAAACGTACAGAAAAAAACCTGCTTGAAGAATTATTAAAGCCTCACCTCGACCTCATTTCTGATGTCATTGACACAGCACACCATCAGTGTCAGCAAGGGGACATGTTGAGGCTGAAATGACCCAAACACCAAGGCAGAAAGACGCTTACTGTCACATGACAAACTGTGTTTGCAGAACTGGTTCACATTTAAGACACATTTGGTGTTTGTCAACACAGCAGAATCACTGCTCAATACTTTCCACTGACAAGGGGCATTTAAGTGAGTTTCTGACTGCCATACGTAAAATGGATTATCCATTCTTGAGTTCTGTGTCAGACTTTCAGGACAGATCTTTCCCCTCTTTCTTTGGCGTGTTCCTGATATACAGTGATAAAATGACAGGTACACTGGTTTTCTGAAAGTGAGGCCATGTGGTCCGCAGACAACAACTGGACTTGCTCTAGTCTGACATGGTGGCAGCGGTGGCATGTCTTCTTCTCTCAAACTAATACCAATGAACATTTCTGTAGTTTCAGTCAAAGCTCCAGGAGGCACTAACAGGAATACTCCAACTTCCTTCAGGTGAACATGTCCACCTTCTGGAGTGATGGAGAATTTCCTCAGGAATGTATCTTTGAGATCATCTGTTCTGATCTCCTCACTGCCTTGTGAGGCAGAGTGCCTGGTCTGGGGTGGTGCAGGTAATTTAAAAATTCTTTCTTCTTGAGACATACCATCATCTCTGTCTCCTATAGCAAAGTATTGAAAAAGAATTGTCAAATCAATTGATAGAACTATATTTCTCCTGATCAAAAAACAAAAAAAAAACAAAAACAAAAACAAAAAAAAAAACAAAGCAGTAAAGCTGTCAAATGTACAGACAAAAAACAGGAAAAAAAGGTCAATTTGTCAATTTTGATGCAATAATAAATAATGCTTATAATAGCACAGTCAGTCAACAGTAATTTTTAATAATGCACAACAGGTAACATGGTCAACAACAGGAGCAGATCCAGAGATATTTTCTGACAGTATTCCAAAGTATCTATGTTGATCCATCCTCCATTTTGATGGTCTTCCAACAGAAAAAAAAAATAGATACCAGTCAATATAAACTTAATAACCTGTCCGTCTTCCAGAAGACCCAGAAGATGGTCTCAATCCACCCCTTCAATAAGATTACAGTTTCAGGACCATGAGAGTTCAAATTCACATGATGAAAGTCTCAATATTTGAAAAATGATGACAGTGCATAAAATAACATTACATTAGTAACATAATTTTTAAAGACATAAAAAACAATACAACTGCTTATGTGGAAATACAGAAATGTCAGAGCCTCAGGCCGATGAGAGTTAAAAGTCACAAATGCAAGTGTTTGAGAAAAAATTATAAAGGAAAACATAACAAAACTAGAAAAGCGCTCCGAGAGTACAGACCTCTGCCAAGGCAGCAATTGTTGATTATTATTTATTATTGTCCTCTTTGGCCCACTTCTAACAGTTCCTGAAAATTTCAGCAAAATCGGTCTATAACTTTTTTGAGTTATGTTGATGACAGACAAACAGGGGTGAAAATATAACCTCCTTGGCAGAGGTCAATATAATTCCAATGAAACTGCTATTCAAACTTTTAATCTTTAAGTTTGATAATACGTTTTTAATATATATATATATATATATATATATATATATATATATATATATATATATATATTAAAAACTTATTTGCAATATTAAACAAAAACTGCCTGCATAGTTATCACTGCTTCCTTATTATTAAGTGCAAATTTTTCTAACCACCAGGCAAATCAGCCAAAAAGCGGCAAGGTGGGGTTCTCACAGAATACACTCACATTGCCCACAGTTAATCACCTCTGTGACCTTAATTTAACTGTAAAATATTAAAGCTTTCCGTTGCGTTATTGTCGAGATACAGCCACATGCATATTTCACTGCCTCGCGTGGCTCCCGTCTCACTTTTCAGCTGTGTGAGTGGTGTATTTTTCATCGAAGTTTGCTTCACAAATGTGCATCAAGTGATCTATACATTACTTCGGTCAATACCACAATTGAGAGATGGATATATAATCTTTATAACGACAGAGATTTATATCATAAATCCGTTGTTATGGTTACAAACTACCGAGGTTATTTGAGGTCACTTGATGACTGCCGCAGATACCCACCCTGTCAATAGCCTTATATCTCCACTAGTAGAGCACCTTAGATAATATCACTGATATTTACTGAAAATATGGACAAGGGGCCTACCATAAATTAAAACACTGGCATGGCCTTTTCCCTACAAATTTTGCAACAGCGACGCAAATTCTTCTATTTTCTGGCCACATTATCGTAAAACATTTTTGCTTCCCACAGTTTCGATTTGCATTCAAGAATGTTTAAGTTAATTTCAACATTCTTAGGACTAATTAACTGAAATAGTCTTCTGTACTTTTTATTTATTGATTCCTGGATATTAAGTATATGCTAAGTTCAAATACGGGGGTAAACATGCATTCGAAACTAAATTCGTGTAGGCGGCCATGACAGTTTCAAGTAGCAGTGGTGGAAAACGTGCGATTAATGCACTGCAGATTTTCCGAATTTCAAGCAGCAAAGCGCACACTTTGTTGTTCTGTAGACCGTTACAAAGACGGAAAGGTTGTGCGATACTCAGGAGATACGACTGAGATGATTGGGGTCACCTCCCGATGCTAAAAGTTACATGCAGAGTGAGAGGCTAATGAGAGGCAATGTCATCAGATCAGAAGAATGGAGAGTGACCTCGACTCAGTCGTGTGTCCAGCGCATCGTCACATGCTATGGATACTTTGGGGAGCTGCAAGAACACGTCAACTACTTCTTCGAACCAAGTTATTATTGTAGGACTTTCCTTGCTCGGACTTAGCGGGAGCTTTCATGCACAGTGTATCCAAATTTTTATCAAGACGAAGCCAAGATATTCAGTTCGTTGGGCCCAGGTAATTAAAAAGTTGACATTCGTCACATCTTTATAATTAATTAACACACCGAATTCACATACAGACAGAAGGTTGATAATGGTATGATATCTGTGTTGTTTGAATTAAATATGCATAATAATTAGACAAGTGAAGCTAAGTCATCATCTAAATACTGCTATCTCTGACCCTCAGAACCACAGCAAATTTGTTATTACGTAAAGTGAAAAGAGCTTATGTTTGTACTGTACATGTTAGCAGTGTAAACTTTTTTTTTTGTATGAGCAACAAGTTACAGAACCCTCACAACTAAATAATACTGCTTTTGTAGATCATTGCTAGTGATTAAAAGGGTAACAATCATATCACAATTACATGAATAATATTTTATATATATGTGAAATAAAGCTTAGTTGTAGCCTAAAATGGGGTTTCATGGTAAATTTTGTTGGTTGAAAATTAAAAACCATTCAATAGATTAAAGAATAAATTTTTGTTGTTATTTTAGCTAGAAGATGTTTGGAGACTGGTCAGAAAGAGCAGCCAGGAATCAGATATATATGGCAAAGAAAATAGTGATTAATCCAAGCACCCGAAAAAGAAGTTTTGTGAAGAGGATTGACTTACTGCCCAACAGACTAAAATGTATTTTTGATGTTTATCTACTTTGAACAAGTATTTGTATCTACAGTGGAAGGACACCAATGACCCGACAGATAGCTAATGTCAGCCATGATGATCCAAGCAAGTAGCAAGGAGATCCCCCAAAAGGAAGTAATTTATGGGAGCTTCATTAAATGATGAAAACTGACACTTTTCGATGACCTTTTTTTTACAAGGAGCTTTTCAGACATGGATTTTTGCCCCAGAAACGTGGAATTCCGCATTTTTTAATTCAGTTCAAGGTGTCCCGGACCTCTGGCCGCTTAAGTGTTGAGTCCCATGATAAATGTTCGGAGTTCTTTTTTTTTTTTTTTT